GAAACGTAAGGGATGCGCAAGGTTGCTGCACCAGCACTGCCCTCGCTCTCCCTCCTTCGCTTAACCTATACCCATACTTCCGCTTCGGGCACCACCCCCCTCCCCGACCCAAGAGCCACGGGCCTTTGTCCAATTTATTATAGCCCTGGAAATTCAGCCGGTACGAATTTATGAAACGCTCTCTACTTCACAGTGAACTACCAACCTGTACCTACTCAGACTCTTATTTGTAAGTAGGTACCTACGGTGCTTTGCGTACTACTGGTAGCAGCTATGCTACCAACTGCCTCACGGTTCGATGGAGAACGTAACCTGGTAGCAGAGATGATGTTTTTTTTTTTCAGGGTGTTTTTCTAGGGTAACACAAACCCCGGTATTTGTGTATGTCAGGATGGTGGGGGTGGAGGTGGGGGTGGGAGTGGGGTGGAGGAGCGGTAACGGTCGTCGTCGCATAAATTTTGATAATTTCAAAATGGTGACGCAACGAAGAGAAAAATTTGCCGTCGCGCGAACCACGTTGAAAAGTGCGAATAAATCGTGTCACCTTTGTCAACGAACCATTTCCCACCCTTAATGCAGGTACCAGGGTGTACGGACACGGGTACCAACCCTCGTCCTTTTACTCGCGACTCCCCTTGTAACTCATGCCTTTTTCGGTTGCGTCGCGACGCCGACGACCTCCTGGCTGCGAACACGCGGACCATTGGCTTTTTGACTGGATACACGTGTGTGCATACATTTTTATCAATTATTAAGAACTCTGCTGGCCGACGCTATGCTACGGGCATTAATAACGCTCGGGTTAAACCAGCACTGGCTGCCACGGCTACACCCCTTACAGTCCCCCCCCCGTCTCTTCAGGACGCGAAAATATGAGTAATAATAAAAAAATACGAAATGCAGGCAGCCACTGGCACTGAGAGCGAGTCTCTGCCTTCTGTTTTTATTTTTTTTATTTTTATTTTATCCCACCCCCTTCTCTTTTCCTTTTCCCTTTACACCCTCTGGCCAGATACACGACTACTCCTTGTATAGTATATGTAGCACTATTGTAATTGTACACAGGTACAAGTAACGACTGTTAAACACATTGCTGCTGTTACAGTCATTAACTTTATGGTAATTTAATTAATAATTTTTTACAAATACTGCAGTCTGTTGTGGTTGTTACGCATTCTTTGTTCTTTCATATCAGATTGAGGATCAAGTCGATACGAAGCCATTTTCTGGCAAACTAATTTACGATTAACGTATGCAAAGTACTTGCCATCTTCCTACCCTTATTTCCTCATCCATTTTACGTGTGTGGAAGGGTATGCGAAATGACGCCCGTACGCGATACGCCAACGTAAGCTAAATATAATAATTATTTAAAAAGTCCATATGCAAACCTTGTCTCGGACTGCGTGGACCCCGACTGACCGTAGACGACCGGGATTATAATTACTTCTGTTTTATTTAAAATTCCAAGCCAGTACTGATTATCTCACCGCCATACAGAATTCAAATCTTCCTAAAGACACGCGCGAGCTGTACATTCTGTTATTTTAAAGGTAATGTTACGAGCAATCTTTCTCTCCTCTTATAAATGTCTTTCGTTTTGCTTTTCAGAAGCCACAACCTTAATAGCTGCTGGTCTTATTTCGCTAGTGGTGAAGTTCGTAGAGCAAGATGGCATCCTGGATCTACTAATGATTCCCATTTGGTTGTACTCACGTCACAAAATACATTACAGTAATAACAAATATTTACTTATCTGAACTTTGTCATAATTATCTATAAAAATATATTATACGTATCCTTCATCTTAGGCTATTCGAGTCCGAGGTAGGCTCAGAACCGAAACTTATCAGAAACTGGAATATCGGCATGAGTCGTTCGGGATCTCCATCCAAAATACCAAGTTTCGAAGATCTTGGAGACACGGCAGTCGATTTTGATTTTACTACACCAACCGTTAAGAAATCTAATGGCAAGGTGAGTGAATCATTGATTTAGTAATGTAGGATAAAATTTGAGAATGAAAATTTTGTTTTTCACTACAGATGGACAAGATAAACTGGAATCAAATCGAGTGGTCAATTTTGGGACTTTGCGGATCTGGCGAAGTGTTTATAATTCGTGAAAATATTTTAGGCGAAACGTACGTATGACTTTCTAATTATATTAAAACAATGCCATTCGACACAGATCCACCTTTCTCTTATTGTCACTAATTCGTTTCAGTTATTCTAAATCAATACGGATGGAGTTCTTAACTATACATCCCTGGGCAGAGGATAATTATGGCACAGAATTCTGTTCTATAATGTGCATTCAAACAACACCCCCGATTGTCATACTGGCATCTTGTCATGGAAAGATTTACCATGGCATTTTATTGAAGGATGTAGTTGATGAAAAAGATAAGGTAGGAACCAAAGAGATAGAAAAAGCTAGTGTAAAATTCAGAAATAATTTTGCATACATTTTCACCTTCGCAGCTGAACTCATCCAATAGTATCATTGAAAGATCTAACACTCCGAAAGATGCTCTGTACATTTATGAAATTATAGAAATGGAACTGGGATTGCTGTACAGAGAAGAAGATAAAAAGTACACCTGTCCAATTAATCTACACAGTGACAAGGGAAACAAATCCAGGTTTCATAGAACAAAAATGATATTTTCTTAAAAAATTCATTCTAAAGAAGAATCTATCGATATACTTTTTTTTCTTAGATACTTCTGTTCCCATAATGCTGGCATCCATATGGTCAGTTTACCTATGGTTTCACAATTGGATGAATATATCAATGCTAGCGAAGGTATGTTTCATCGAAAAACATTTAATGGTTTCCTTCTAATTGATATCATTGGTTCATTTTATTTTTTTATATATATAGAGAACTCTGAGCTGTACATTCCAACACTCTCAAACCAATCAAGTTTTCAATATCTTCTCTGTACAAGAACCAAGCATACCAACGAAAATCAAGCTACTCCTATATTGGGTTTTGGTCTACTCCAAGATCCTTGTGTCTTGATCGTGTTGCTTCATACAGGAGTAGTGGTGGATTTGACTGTAGTAGATCTTCAGTATCTCCCAAAATTGGAACAACCAGAACCAACCATGAGTCCCAGTAAAAAGGTACAGTCCCTCTTACAATACTATATAATAATAATCTATAGATACTTCATCTAATCACTATTTTAAATGAATTAACAGGTAACTAAAGTGCCATTCGACGTATATATCAAAGGTCTTCTAAGACACGAAGTGACGCAACCCATTACTAAGCTGAGCAATCAGTCAGAATTGTCAGCTCGTGAAGCACTGGAGGTAATATATAAAATATCAGGAATCAAACTTAAATTAAATTTCAAATTATTAATGTTTGTTCGCTATTAATTTTTCTTAATAGCTACTGTACCGTGCAACTCACATATTTCGTACAAGCTATTTTATAAATCATGACAAAGTACGAGAAGAACTGTCAAAGAAGGTGCGCAGTCTGAAGGCTCTCAAGGAACACCAATTAAAGGAACTTGATAGACTTATAGAAACTAAAAGGGAACTTAAACAAACAGCAGAACATCTGGCTGAGCATTATGAAGATATTAAAGATGTCCAAGAGGATCTAGCACGAAGGTGAGAGTCTAATTATAAAATATAACATTTCTAATTAACAACTATATCGAGCTACTGTTTAGTTATCGTCTAGACAACGAATAATCAATTGATTTATTTTTCAGAGCTGATACAGTATTGAGACTTGTTAAACAAAAGGAACCTTCGATGTCTGTTGCTGAGAGAGCTGAAGCCCTCGCATTGAAAGATATGGCCGATAACATAAATGAGCTGAAAATGCGTTTGGAACAGTTGAAGAAAAAAGCTTCTGATCAGGCGAAATATCGTGAAAGTTATAAGAAATCGAATATAACTCGCGATATCGTACTGAGCAAGTCTCAAGAGGAAGCAATCAAGACTAACTTGAAACAAATGTAAGTGACAGACATAATCGGACTAATTTTCACTAATTATTAATTATCTACATAATTCATTAACTCATAATTTTTTCACAGAGGTAACGACATTGCGGGACTGATATCACAAGTGAAAAATCTTCAGATAGACATTGGCCTATAATATGCGCAGTGAATTTACTTTCTAACTTTTTTTTTTACTGTATTGCGATATGTTTTTAAAAATAAACCTCACGTTTTCAATTATTTTACCTTAATTCTATGCATTATCAATATCAAAGAAAGATGAAACAAATTAAAAACCAGTAGATATAGTGATGCGTGTTATTACGCTATATTAAAATTCTCGTTTTTCCGATACAAATCCTATTAAAAAACTTATCCTACGCTTAAAAGTTAGTGGCATAAATGACGCTTTGATGAAATGACACGAATATACGTTATCATTAAATTATCACAATTCATGAGATCGTTATGTAATTATCACTCGACCAGTGGTCCCCAGAAGTGTTTGCTGGGCCTAGTGGGATCATCGCTGAGGATATAATCGCGTCCAAGCTTAACAAATTCCTTAAAACTAATTTTTCCATCTTCATTCGTATCGATAAAAGTGAACGACACGACAGCGTGCTAAAGATAAAATAATCCAATTAGCAGACTATTCGTAATACGAGAAATAGTAAGTGATAAACTGTTTAATAATTACATCATGACTGAGTCCCAGGCACTGGAAAAACAACTTGAACTCCTGCACTGATATTTCTCCGCTTCCATCCTTATCAACTGCCTGGAGAACAAAAACGAACAAAAAATTACCACTTTGTAATAAATAATGAATCATCCTCATATTGCAATAATTGCAATATTTTATATTATAGTTTAAAATTTTATATTATAGTTTACCTTGAACAAGAAGGGCAAGAAATGGTGACACTTTCGCTTAAGCGATGTATCATTAAGAACATGATGCATCTCCTCCAAATATTTCTCAACAGATACAAGATTGTATGGACTGATTTCGCCCCACTGCTCCACCCACATGTCCTATAAATATCATACAATCAGCCACGGAATCATGAATCACTGGGACAAAGTTACTATACAATTTGTATATAATTGCAACTGCATATAGAATCTGAAGCTGTATTTACCCTGAGAACTTGTTCAAATTCCTCCTTGGCTGCAGGGCTCAAATGTCCTAAGTCAGCAAACCTTTCACCAAGTAACATAAAGTCATCATAGCTGATGACGCCGTCCTTGTTCACATCAAGATGACTGTGTAAAGTACGCATCTTCCTTCTCCAGAATTGAGACTCGCCCTAAAATTAAGAGCGTCAATTTGTATGCACAACTTACAAGAGAAAGTGGTAAACCGTATTTCCATCGGTGACGATCGCTTGTAAAGTATTGATTAAAGTTTTAATTGCGAGACTCCTGCTTCCTAATTAAGGTCATTGCATCGTTATAATTTTATACACCTGGAGGGAATAATATTAAGACAAAAGAGCCTGAAAATCAAATACGCACTAGCGATTTTAAAGCTAGGGCCAATAGCTAGGAAAAACACGATAACCTTTGTCAGTTAAAAAAAATAGCAAGACTATATGTTTCAGAGACGAGAGAAAATTAACCATAATATATACTTCATCGTGAACTTTCGATAGTCCTTTAATCTTATCTCAGTAATATATTTGATACATTAAACATCTACATAAAAAATGTTCATGACCCAAATACTGTAGTCTAACACTTTAGTCATGCGTGAACGAAGCAACATCTTTTTTTAACTTACTTTACATAATTGCGCAATAACTATTATGAAGCTAGAAACTCTTTTTTGAAGGGCCCAAACACGACAGACCCAATCAACTGGTTCTACCCACTTTGGAATTTAAAACAAGCAGTACAATAATACCTAGCGTTTGTACGTACATCCATATGTTATTAGCATACTTTATACGCAGTGGCGACTGTACGCAACGAGCAACTCTAGTTTCCTGCCTTGAATTTCAGCCTTTCATAATGCCCTCGTAATATGATGAACGCAAGCAATGTAATCAAAAAATATATATATCTCACCCTATTATGTTCGTCATCAGAATCACTGTCGCTATCGCTGTCTTCATTAACAGATGCCGACGCCCTTGTGTGATGAACATTCCTTTTACTGTACATCCTCTTTGCAACGTGAGCATACTGAAAATTAAAAAAAAAGAAGACTCATTGCTTATACAATTTTTTACTTATCAATAAAGTCAATTATCATGGTGATTTGTTATACCGACATCTTGTACTATTTTCTACAGTCTCGTTCATTGTTATGCTTCTCCTATCAAGCGGTGTGAAACGACCGAGGTTCAAGAAAGTTCATTAACCTGCATGAAGTCGCTCAAGTGAAACGTGGATAGCACGAGAATAACATTGCAAAATAATTTATAGTTCTATGAAAACTACTAAAAATTAAAATGAAAAAATTAAACTTCTAGAATTCGTTACGTAGATACCTGTGAAAGGGCCTGGCCTATATTATATGGTACGGACCAGGCCCTTTTCCTTTCACTACATTCCTGGGAGTCGAGTTTGACTACATACAATTTTATCAGGAAGACCTTGTGTATGTTTTTAGATCATAATATATTAATTAATATATATCTACTTCTACAGTATTGACGAAAATGAACAATCTTGTTCATTTATTCAGTCGCATGGCTGCTAATGCCATGTACATATATATATTTGTTGTGTGTCTGATTACGCAAGGTCTCACGATTCGATTTTCAGTTTGTAAACAAGTCTGGTGCGAAGACCTACTTTCATATTACACTGATAAAATGTTTGACGCTGCACATCGGGTATAAAGGAAAACACACTTCGCACATGCTGAGTGAACAATTGATGAATATAATTGCCGGTTGCTTGACTATTATAGATATACTATATGTATATGTATAAAGTTTAATACAGTATTATTAACTTTATAAGTTTGTGACTCTTTTCGAATTGTTATAGCCCTATAAAAATATGTAAATCAGAAATACAACTTTTATTTATGCCATCCCATTTTCACTTAAGAATGTTCAACCTATATGTCAGGCCCAGAAGAAATAGTTGAAATTTGTATGAATTAAAATATCAGTCAAATATCTTTTCAGTTCAAAAGATGTGTCCGTAAATTTGTATTGACTTAACGTGGCTTCTTATGGAGACACGATACGTTGGCGTGTATAAATGCACTAAGAGATATGAAAAATGTGAGAAACTATTGAAACTATTTAAGTGTTTAGAAAGTATACATCAATTTTCATGGGAAATTATATGTATGAGCATCCACTTTTTTTTTGAGTTATTAAAATAAAACGTTATTACTGTAACTTTTATCATAACTGTAATATTTATATATATTTTTATATTATTTTTGAGTCACGAAAAGTCTAAAATTAATATTTATGAATTTTCAGTAAAATCATACTCCATAGTTTTTCCTGGGGAAACAGAGTTGCATGTAAATTGACTTAAAACAATAGGAGCCAAAACATGGATGTATTTTTCTTGTATACTGTACTCTTTACAATATCTTTAGTTATGCAGAGTTTATATAATATAGATTTCTCAATTCTAGTTACTTTTTATTGTGACGGTATAAGGTAGAACATCCTTAACAGACGCGACGCGAAACCACTTCTGAAAGTGTCAATGGCGACTGCAGAAAGCTGAATAAAATAAAATAAATAAATGTAATTGCACGAACCTGATATGCATTTTCTGTTCTGAAAGCATTTTGTTCTGAAGCAAAGAGGGAACAGGACAACGCCTGCGCCCCGCGTTTTTCCAAAATTCCCCGCGAAATGGCGGAGCGTACTCCAACCCTCAGCAATGCAAGAGCCATGTTGTCAATTACACGGTTAAAATATTAATAACACAAAAAAATAGCAAATTGAAGTCGAGAAAATGTTTTCTTGAGATGAATATTACACGAGCGATCGTTCGGTACTAAACCCAAACAAGGGGCCCCGATCCCTTTTGTAACGACGCTCAGCAACCCCCCTCTTACCACTGACGCCATTACTGCCTGTTCTTCTCTTCTTTTTACTGACTCTCATTTCTGTCTCAAAGCGTCTTTACTCTACTGTAGATAAATCCCCATAGGCGTAGAGAATTACACAGTTTACATGGCAATAAACAGCCGAGGATGTTTCTGGAATAATCTAAACCTTTTAACTTTTTTTTTTACCACAGACCCCTTTTTTAAAATACTTTTGCAGATGATATTAATTATTCTTCGAAACATTCAATGACATTTACTTATGATTATCCACCTATACTGTGCGTCGTGGACCTTGAATCATTCAACGCCTATGGAAATAGGTTTATCTGTATGTTGACAGTCTGTGTCGCATTAAGCCAGAAGAAGCTATTGGAAGTAACAACGGAAGACAACGATTATTTTGAAAGTATGACGAGTGGGGATCAGATGCACGTAGTCATGTAACAATTACACAGGGCTTGTTGAGGTCGATAGTTGTTACGAATCGATACTACGTGACAACCGGCATGGCGTACTACTCGAGCGGAACAGCTCGCAACTGGTAAACAACAAACAAGTCGGCCTAGATCAGTCGATGCTGATTGATATATGTAACGATTAAATTATTTTTTATTTACAATAAAGCGTCGAACGCTTCAATCACGTATTGTAGTGCTTAATGGCTACCTTTATATATGTATATATAATTATACGCACGCATCGCGCACAAATCGTACGGTACATATAGTTTGAATTCAAAAATGGATATACATCGCGTGTATCTCATCAAATGCACACGCTGTATAAGATCTCTTTTCGGTAGATGCCGTTAATAAAAAAAAATATGTATATGTAAAGTACGAAAATTCGGCAGCAGTCGATAATGCTCATTTATTTTTTAGCTCTTCTTGTACTCAATTCGCTCCACCTTTACTTCATCCCCTACAAGCTGGTATACATAAGTTACCACTGTTGAACTCTGGATATCCATCAGCACAAAGGATGGTATTACAGAGCTGGAAGAGAAAGTATGAATTTAAAGATGTGCTTGTTGGCAAAACTGATGAAGTGATATTACAAAGAAATTATCCACTAACGTGTCTAAAGGGTTGTATGCTCCAGTTGCAGAACCTGGATTTATGTAAAATTTATTCTCATGCTCGTAAGCTTCAAATTTATGTGTGTGACCAGATATGAGAATATCCACGTCCAATTGCCTTTGAATTAATGCTAGAGATTCAGGATCACCCCATGGAACCACTTGATGACCATGCGATAGTCCAATTCTAAATTGACCAACAGTAACAACTTTTTGTTCTGGATAATTCAAATTCTGTAAAAAAAAAACAATACAGTTGTTAGCATAAAAACTGATAATACTAGAGATTAGGGTAAGTTTGTATTTAAAAGTTGTACATACTTCATCAAAGTCACCCCGTACTACGTGTACATCACTGGCCAAAGTCTTGAGATAATCATAGGATTCCTTTGTACAAAGGTTGCCTGTACATAGAATATGTTGTATCCTACCAGGCACAAGGAGCTTTTTAAATTTACTTGGCAAGCTACTACATCTGTGTGGAATGTGTAAATCTCCCAAGACTAGAACAAGCTGTGTAAAGTAATCATTAGTAAAAGAACTCATATTATTAGTCATACAACATTTGATAATAAGATATCGTTAAAGTACTACATAATTAATAAAATACAAAGAAAGAACTCTATGGTGTGATACTATATTATCTGACAACAAAGTTATTTACTCTTTTATGAGGTTAGAATTTGTAACCCCATAGTGAATCAAGAGACCTACAAGAGATTCAAGATTTCTACTTACCATGATTATTAAATAGTTATGCTACTACGAAACACTTAGAAATTTATGTGATCTCTTGGAGTCAGTTTCAACAATCATTAACAAAATTCCGAATTGTGGAAATGTCAAATATTTTAGTGAATGTAGGAGTGACAGTCCAAGTGAAATCAAGAGGGAGGATACCCTATCCCCCACCATAAGGTAGGAATGATCTTTTAGCCAATCACTAAACGATCCAGCGCATACAAGATCGTTCGTGAATAGCGGGAACTTGAATAACGCTGCTGTATCTCATATAATGGTGAATTTCTGAAAAATTTATATGATTGGCTTAAACAGAACTCATATAACATAATTGTGAATGCTATAAAATCACCATGAAGTGTATTGTACCTGGAGCCAATATTAAAAGTATGTTAATCTTAATTCTATGTTTAGGTTATGATTTCTGCTACCTTTTGACAACCTTTATTTACTTAACTAAAATTTGTTAAATTGTTAACATTAGTGTCAATTTATGATATAATTATATGATTACAATTTCAGTCTTGGCAAGAGCTATTCATTGTCTTTCAAAGATAGGAGATGAAATGTATGTGCACCCTCAAGAGAAGTGCATATCCTTCCGCTCTGTCAATATGGCAAATTCTGCTTATGCAAATTTTACATTTCATGAAAATTATTTTTCATACTATATTTTTGGAGATGATGATGAAAAGGACACCCTCAAGTGTAAAATCTCCATAAGGGTAAATAATTGTATATTCTTTATTTTAGTGTGTCATATACTCTAAAACAATTCTTTATAGAGTATAATGGCAGTATTCAAGACACCAAATGCACTAGACAAACAAGTGGAAACGTGCCACATAAAACTGCAACCAAATGCTTCCAAATTGATATTTATGTTGAAATACAAAAACAATATTACCAAAACATATTTATTACCTATAATAGACTCTGAAATGATGGAGGTTTGTATGTGTGTCTTTACTTATAAATTGTATTTATATTTCTATTATCTCATATCTTATTCCAGGCTGTATATAACAAGGAAAGTATTTCTAACAAGTTGACATCACACTCAAAGGTGCTTATAGATGCAGTACAGAATTTTCAACAGAACCTCGTAGAACTTACTATACAGATCACACCACAAAAAGTAATTCTGAGAAATTACATTGATGAAACATGCAGTAAGCCATTTATTCATATTTAAAAAAATCTTTGCATACGATAAATGAAAGTTTCTAATTTATAGCATTGTCAAAGATTACACGAACCCATTTGGCATTAGACTTGAGCGAATTCGTCAACTACAATGTAGAAACAGAAACGACCATTACTTTCTGCATGAAAGAACTGAGAGCTATTCTAAATTTTGCAGAGTCTGTAGGTCTTTCATTAGGCATCCATTTTGAAACAGCTGGACGGTAAACATTTTTACTAAAATGCAAATGGTCTTAACTATCACACCTGTATTTACAAAGTTCAATTTGAATTTTGCAGACCAGTGATCTTCACTATAGAAACAACATCGTTCGAAGCCAATGTAGTGCTGTCAACATTAAATCCTGATGTGACATCTGCCATTGACAAATCTGCAGGTGGCAAACGGGAGCAAAGTTTACAAAAGAAAGCAGCAAATAAAAAGTCATTTAAAAAATCTGCAAACACAGTTAATCGTCGCACTATAAACAATTCAAAAATTAGTACTAAAACAGGCAATGCAACATCAAACATACAAAGTGCCTCGATAAAGGACAATCATGATGTATCTCTTATTAATACTGATTCAAATACTTTGGTTAACATGGGTAATGGTCATTCTGAAAACGACCATGTCATGCAGAATAACAGCGAGCGAATCACCAGGGAAGTTTTTAATTACAATGAGAAACCTTCTACCAGCAAATCCATATTACATAGAGAATCCATCGACAGCAGAAATCTCATTAATTCTGTATTCTCCAATATGCCAAAGCGAAAGACGTGCAACGAACGTGTAGATGTTTCAGATACATCTGATGACGAAGACACTGTACCAAATTCACCACCCCCGGCAAAGAAAGCTCGGTCCATCTTTCAGAAATGCTTTCAAAAGACCTTTGACCCAAAAATTATGTTGCCAGGACATGATAGGATCTTAGCAGAAGATTCAGATGAGCATAGTGACTGATAATAACATAATCCATCATTTATATCACCTAAAACTTTATACGATCACATGTTAGTTTTTTGTACATAATCGAATAATATACAAGCCAAAATTAGTCTAGGCTAAAGCGTTAATAAATTATATCTCAAGTTTATTGTAAATATTTCAATATCAAGCGGGAATCCTATGACCTTATAAAAACTAAAATATCCCTAGTAAGGAAAGCTATCTGGTGGAAATCATTCAGTCGTCTGCTACATTAAGAAAGTGAAAGTTATTACTGCTTGCTTCAAAGAATATTCAATAAAATACGAAATGGCAAGCGTTTCGGGAACGTTTGTGAAAATAAGTGTATTGAGTAGTATAGGAGTTGGCAGCTGGTACGCTGGCCAGTTATGTGAAAGAATAAAACATGAGAATAAAGAAAAAGACATCCGAGCGGGTTTATTCTCTAGTTATGGCATTAAAAATGTGCCCGCTCTGCCAATTTTTGGAACAGTTTCTGCAGCAACACCACTAGTCCCTGCTGATCATCAAGGAGATATGGGATCTGGTCTTTCAACAAAGGCTACAAGAATTTCACAGGTAAATTCTTCAAATATTCCTTAACTCAGAAATCTAACCTTTCATTTAGTTCAGTTAGCTAATACAAACTGGGCCACGTGTCCTCATTGTTGAGGATCCCGCTGAATTTAATATAGTAGCGGTACGATTTGAATGTTTGCCAGATAATGAAGTACGGTTTTCCGGGACTCGATAATGTTAGATCGTACGACAATTTTGTTCTCTCGTACGACAGAAGGAACAGAGTTGCTCACTGGGTATTCGAACACCTGACGAAGGAGACTTTAAAACCAAACGATAGTATAGACAGATCCAAATGTGAATTTAAACCAGATACCAGTATACATCCGTTTTTTAGGTAAGAGAAGTACCAAATGTCGCGCATATAGAAACATTTAAATATTGACATGATATAAATAATAATATATTTGTGTAGAGCTGACAATAGTGATTATAAAGGCAGCGGTTATGATCGTGGTCACTTAGCTGCAGCGGGAAATCACAAAGTGGATCAGAAACATATAGAGCAAACATTTTTTTTATCTAATATAGCACCTCAAGTTGGCGTTGGTTTTAATAGGCATTCCTGGAATAGATTAGAGAAATATGTCAGGAAATTAACTCACGTTTATAAAGACGTCTACGTCTGTACTGGTCCACTTTATTTACCAAAGTAAGTTTTTCAGGATTTTATATTTTACATTTTAATCTTGAATAACTGACCCTATCTTTACTTGTAACAGGAAGGATGCTGATGGAAAGAAGTACGTTCGTTATGAAGTAATCGGCGCAAATCATGTGGCCGTCCCAACGCATTTTTATAAAATAGTAGTGGGTGAAACGGATGATTCTAAATACGAAATGGAAGCATTTGTTATGCCAAATGCTCCGATCGATGAGAACACGCCACTCACGAACTTTCGAGTAATATAATTTTTTAATTTCATCTTTGAACAATGGCTGGCCATTTTTAATTTTATAAAGCAATGTGTACTTTTCTTTCTAGGTACCTCCAGAAACTGTGGAACGAGCGGCTGGTCTTTTATTCTTTGACAAGTTATCACGTGAGAAACTCTCGAAAATTAATGGAAAAAGTATCGGATGGTTTTAAGAAATGTGGAAGGTAGGAAATGCAATTTTACAAACATGAGTGATGTTGGGCATTTTCCCAGCCGTATGTACAATTTTATTAGAGGGTTGTATGGAGTGAATTTTAAGACGAGTTTTTAACTTTTTTTAGACTGATATTGACGATTATATTTTTAATTGTAGCGTGCAATACTTACCTGTTATTAAATGTTAAATATATACTGGGTACTGTTACAAATCTATTATTCATTATGTAAAAACTGTTTGTGTATAAATGCTCAAATCTTTATTATTTTGTACACTTAACCATCCGAGATGCTACTGATAATAATGCAAAAGATCCTATCTCGTAATTAGATAAATTAGCAATGAACAGAAGTGACAATATCGAAACGTCAGTCTTGCAAGGAGTAAATTGCATATTTTGATCCTCTCCCAATACAGATAGGATATAATTAGATTAGATAACAATTATCTTACTAATGTTGATCAGTTATGACTGAGAAAAATCCCTGGCAATTTCCAAACATTTTTGTTTATCAATGAAATCCGATCAATCCTTATAAAAGTTACTTTGGTTGTCATGGTAAATATTACATACCAAGTATAACAGGTTTCGCCGTTAAATACTGCCTTTCATATATAAAAATCCTATCGATAAAACCATTTATAATCTTTCACAACTTATCGTCTACATGTATATACAAAATTAACATGTTCGCCAAGGAACCATGAGAAAACTTCTTCTAAAGTAATACACATGCATCCTCGACACTACACAACAATCACCATACAATACAATACATCAAGTACATTCAATAGCATCTGTTCGGTCAATCAGCAATTATATCATTATGTTATAAGAAGAAAGGCAAAACATTATGCTCTCAGAGATCTTGCTCTCCTATAACGTCAACTGTCGCATTCGGAAATGTCTTTTAAATATCATTTAATCACTTTATAAATAGGTTCGCTGTAAATACTCTATATTTAGGCATTAAAATGGACGGGTCTTGGTTTAGCTCGGTGAGTCCCTTTGGAATGATACCGCAGCTTAAGGACACTTTTGAATGTTTAAGTACACTTAGTTTTGTGAAGAAAAAAATGTATGATACACAAGATCGTGCGACTCATAAAAAAAGTCATAGGTGACTAATGTAGGTCAGGCTTCTCATTGAGAAATAGTAGAGAATACTGAAGATCCTTTCGATACGTAAGATACGACAAGGACTAGAAACTTTGCATGAGACCCTTAATAGTTCCCTACCATTTTCTATTTCTCTCCTCTCTCTCTCTCTCTACTGTTTTAAGTGTAACTCCTGTCGAGGCTTCTTGCCTAAAGAAAATCTCATTCCGGTTAAGGAGTGTGGAGTAATAACTTCTTACTCGGGGGACTAGGATAGGTTCATGACGAATGACCTTGCCACGGGCTTCTTCGATTTCTCAGATTAACCTTTCCTCAGGTGGTGGCTTCATTACATTATCCATCTCGACTCGAGGATTGCTGAATTCTTGAGCACTAGGGCTGTATGTACCACGAGTAGCACGTTTTTTACGCGCCATCATGAATAATGCTATTAGTGATCCAGCTGCTATAAGGAAAAGGCAACCAAGAATCGGTCCCACAATAACGGCAATGTCTAATGCTTGACTTCCCAAGAAATGTTCCGACTAAGGAAAATAGAAGAAAGTGAAATTAGTAAATATAATTTAAAAATAGAGTTTCTTAAAATAAAATATTATACCTCGGTGCAATTTTGCCCTGTATAATCAGAAGTACAGTGGCAAGTATATCCAGCATCGTCTAGACATTCACAAGTCCCACCATTTTGACAGTAATCCTACAATAAATTAATTATTTAGATTGTTGTATTATAATATATATTACAATAATATAAGACACTTACCTCTCTGCAAGGATCCTCTATATTGCAGTTGTACCCACAGTAACCAAGGTCACAGCTGCAGTGATATGTCCCAGGCAAATTTTTGCATTGACCATGTCCACAGTCCACATCTTCCTCTATGCATTCATCAACATCAATCGAACAATTTGATCCTCTATATCCAGTACCAGTGCAGTTGCATGTGTACTCATTAACACCATCGTAACATTTCCCATCATTTTTACAGGGAACATTTCCATCGACATCTGGTGCACAGTCATCAATGTTTGTTTCACAGTATAGACCAGTGTAACCAGGTAAACATGTACATTGTGGAGGCTTATAGTAAAAACAATATTAAAACATAGTGTCGCCATCAACTGCAGAATTAATATTTAAGAAATACTGATTTATATATGTACCTGATATAGAAAATCACATCTGGCTCCATTCTGACATTTTTGTTTAATACAATAAGGTATATCACAAACTGATCCTTCGTATCCTGGCATGCAGTTGCAGGTGAAGTTATCACCAGTTTTAGGATTAATTACATCAACGCATGTGGAGCCATTTCTACAAGGTTGATTTTCACAGGTTATCAATCTGAAGTTCTCACATAGGTCGCCAGTGAATTGATCAGGGCATTCACAGCGGAATGATCCTGGTAGATTAACACATACTCCATCATGTTGGCATGGACGTACTTTAACACATTCATTGATATCCTCCTCACACCTGTACATATTTTACATAACAATACCGTTAATGATTCATTAAATATAATGACTTTACGAAATTCATACAGATATAAAAAATAAATTTTACTCACAGCCAACCTTGCCAACCTTTGTTGCAGATGCAACTATAATTTGCTATAGAATCTATACACGTAGCCCCATTCTGGCATTTATTATCTTCACATTCATCAATATCTACTGAACAATCATCCTCAGCATATCCCGGTGGACACTCACATACGTAACTAGTAGTTTTGTCTTGACAGTAACCATTATTTTTACAATCATTGTCAAAGCAAAGACGGCAGCCAATACTCTCATAATTTGAAGCGTTATCCTGTGGTTGCAATGCAAGAAACTCCAATGGCGTGAAGTTTGCATTCTTATAAACTTCATCGTAGGTAAAGTAATGTAGTAGCATATTACCAATACGAACTTCGCCTAAGCAACCTTTGAAGGCTTTGCCTAATTGTAATGAGAAATATAATCAGACAGCACGAATGATAATTTTAGTATTTCAAAATGATCTTGAATAAGGAAATCTTACCAGACGCGATACTGTGTGGTGGTGAAGAAGTTGTCAAAATGTGATCAGCGAAGTCGACTGAATTTCCATCAATATTGTCTCTTGAATCTATCTGTCTAGTAGTGGTGTAACTATGTCTGTCTGACAAACCACCGCCTAATCCTCCCAGAGTAACAGTACCACTAACCAGAAGGTCGTACCAAAGCAAGAAACTAAAGTTGGGGCTAATTTGCGGTATGGTGTCATCATTATAATTTGAATATCCACATTCCATGGTGTTGTTGCTCAATCTAATTAATATGGATGTCCAATTGCCATCTGGTTCATGCTTCCCAAAAATCAATTCTCCAGTATTCTGAGTATCCAAGTTCCAGGAGATGGTTACATTGTCTTTATAAACAGATACCGTAAAGTGTTGATTCCCAGTTCTAGGTGTTATTTGCATAAGTGTGCCACCGGTATTGGAACGATATGTGATTTCAATAGTATCAATAGTAGATTCCGTAACGTTAGTCTCTTCTGATTGATTGTAAACATATGTAAACATTGTACTGACACCATCAAATGTGGCATTGGCGACACATTCATAACCATCGTCAAGATTTTGACATTTAGATCCAGTAGGACAATCTTGAAGTTGACAGAATTCCATCTCTTGACACATTTTCCCAGTGTATCCACGTGGACATTGACACCAGAAATCATTCCAGGTCACGTGACACGTACCATTGTGATAACAAGGATTGTTGACACATACGTTATCAGATACAACACCTTCTAAAACAGTTTCTCTATCGAAAGAGACATTACCGAATTGTATAAGATTTCTTATATCTTTAGCTTTAAGTGGATAAAACTCAACAACCATTATGTCAACACCGTTTGATATTTGTACATCCTGAATGACTCCTTTGAAGTTGACTTGCGGCGTTTGTACTACCTCCATCTGTCTACTATCGACTTGGCGGATGTATCGTGATGCCTGAGGTAGCCCACCCAGGTATAAAACTGTCACATTTAATTGGCCAGTGGCACTGATTGTCTTCCGAAAGTATTCGGTGCCATTGATCTTCACCTGGACTAGTGTGACGTTTCTGACAATTTGTATCAAATGATTATTACCGTCATTTAACTTCACACCGCCAACTGTGTAGGCCTCCGTGCCATTGAATTGAATTCTCACAAGAAGTTCGCCACCCTCCAATTGTGCAGCTATATACGTTTTCTCTTGTTTCCCGTCAAATTGTGTGCTTGGTTCTGATCCTAGATAAAATATGTCTCCTCTATCTTGTCTGGTTCTAATAAACATAGATATATCTACTATGGATCTAACTGCTCTTCTAGCCATGTCTGCCACTCTGACGGTCACATAACTATTTGTAATGTTCTCATAACCAAAAGTTGCTGCTGTCATGTTATACTGACAAGTGTGACCAAGATAAGGACGTTCGCATTTGCAAGAGAAATCTCTCCACCGGTCTGTACAGTGTCCACCATTCTTACAAGGATTTGGAGAGCACTGTGCTTCTCTAGGACAACCCGGTTCGACATTTTCCATGAGAACTGTTTTTGACGTTGTTCCGGAGTATATCTAAATAAATGTTTATTACGTTAATATTATCGACATAACGAACTGAGTAATTGATTATATATAATTAAATAAATTTACCCATTCTCCGTTAATGACAACGTCTTCGGTACAGCCTACAAAAAACGGCGGACCGTGCGTGAGTCTTCTCAAATAACTGATTGTCCCTCCTACATAGGTCGTCGGAAATGATGTATGATTAGCGTTAGAACCCTCGTTAAGATTAATTGGATAGATCGTCTGTTCTTCATTAGCCGACAGCACAAGATGAGTAGCGTTAATAGCGACGAAGACTTTCTGCCATGTAGAGTCATTCAAACCACTGCCAATAAATACTCCTTCCCATTTATTTAATAAACTCGAGTGAAGATTTAGCTTCCCATTAACGAGTTCCAGGATGTAGAACGTGGACCCTTTACCAATAGCCAAGAGTCCATTGGGCAGAGTGGTCCGGAAGCGGAACTGGATATCATATCCCTCATCCCGGCTTGTGTTTACCATGATATAGGAACTTCCGCTGAGCGACATTGTGGTTACCTGAAATAATCAAATATTTGAAGAATCCCTTCACACAACGAAGATATTAGTAACCTACGCACCTTCTCCTAAACTCTTGAATATCGTGCAAACAGAAAGCGAACAAAGAAATAAATATAATTATAATGCACAATTGATGTTATACTTACGTAATCGCATATTTCTCCGTGATATCCATTTGGGCAAGTACAGTTAAATTTATGCTCAGTTTCGTCAACCAAATAGGGCCAACAAGTCCCACCGTTTTGACATGCGTTACCCTGACAACCAGTAAGAGCAACTGAGCAATTTTTGCCACCATATTCAGGATCGCATGTGCAAAAATAATCAGCTCTTCCATCTATACAGTCTCCATGTTCACAAGGCGTATATCTTTTACATTCATCAATATCATGTTGACAATGATCACCTTCGTAACCTTCATCACATTCACACGTGTAACCGCCTATACGGTCCATACATGTTCCAGCCAAACAAGGATTGCTCTCGCATTCATTGATATTAAATTCACAATTTTTACCAGTCACACCCTGCACGCAGATGCATTCATATCCACTGGCATTAGCATAACTGAATTCCTGAGTGAATATCGCTGGCAGTGTAGACGCATTGCTTTTGTACAATTCCTTATTAGATCTCTCAAGACAAGTGCCATTGTACTTGCACGGTGTGCTCTCGCACTCGTTTATATCAACTTCACAATTTTGTCCAGTATAGCCGATATAACATTGACACTTATAGCTCTTGATGTCATCGATGCATTGCGCCCCATTGACACAAGGACTTGACAGACAATCGTCAATGTTGTTCTCACAGTGAAAACCCTCGAAACCAGTGTCTGTACAGTCACAGGTGTAATTATTAATGCCGTCGATACACTGCCCATAATTTAAGCAAGGTGATGAATCACAGTCATCAATGTTGGTTTCACAGTTGTATCCATTGAAGCCTGGCGAGCAGATGCAACTATAGGCAGCTATTTCATCGACGCATGTGGCACCGTTCAAGCAGGGATCACTTTCGCACTCATTGATATCGATGTCGCAGGTCTTTCCTGAATATCCTGGTGGACAACGGCACTCGAAGGTATTTATACGGTCGATGCAGGTGGCGTTGTTCTTGCAGGGTCCGCAAAGGCACTCATCGATGTCTATATTGCAGTGGTCTCCAGAGAATCCCGGTCGGCAGAAACAGGCGTAGCTACCCTCATTGTTCAAGCAGATGCCATTGTTGCACAATGGAGTACCTTCACGCTCGCACTCATTCACGTCCATGTCGCAAAATTGTCCTAAATGAAGAAATGCATATTTCAATGAACTTGGACGCTAATTATGAGGTAAGAAGTCGTTAAAGAACGTACCTTGGTAACCTTCGTTGCAGGTGCACTTAAATCCGTTTTCACCCAGGTCAACGCATGTGCCATTATTGCATGGTTCGCTTGCGCAATGATCAACAATTAAAGTGCAATTCGGTCCTCTATATCCTTCCCTGCACCTACACTCGTAACCGGCGACCATGTCGACGCAAACTTTTCCATCAGCGCAAGTTACACCAGCACATTCGTCTACGTTAACGTCGCATGTCTTTCCTTCGAATCCTGCTGGACATTCGCATACGTATTCTCGTCGGGATCTGGCGACCAGGGTGCATGTGCCATTATTGGTACATGGATTGATGGCGCATGCGTCATATTCTCTTTCGCAATTCTCCCCCATGAAATCGCGAGTGCAGTTGCAGCTGTAGCCATTTGTTCTGTCAATACAGGTTCCACCGTTTAGGCAGGGTTGAGACAGACACTCATCGATATTGATTTGACAATTTTTTCCTGAAAAGCAAAAATAGCACGTGGATATTAATTTTTGTTTACATATGATTTTGTGGATGTCTTCAGGATCATCAAGAGACGTAGACCAGGAGGACAGACAATTTTTACGAGATACAATAGATGGAAGGGTTTTTTACCCGTATAGCCAGGAAGACATTGACAGTAGTAACTGTTCAGAAGATCAATGCAACTACCGCCGTTTCTGCACGGATCACTGGAACACTCATCTATGTCTATGGAACAATCAGGTCCGGTCCAGCCTGGTTCGCAATTGCAAAAATATCCACCGGGCTGTAATGGATGTGAAACGAAAGAAAGCGAATGTGCAAGACAATACAAAGAAGCTGGAATAACCAGGATTAAGGATGTTGCCCATCGTTACTCACGTAATCATGACAGGCCGAGATCTGCTTACACGGCATATTGCGACAAGTGATTGGTTCTTTGCAATGCGGTCCAGCCCAGAATCTTGTGCATTGACACATTATTCCATGGCTCGTCTCGAGGCAGGTACCACCGTTCAAACAAGCGGTACACCAATCAGATGCAGGAGTCAAACATGTTGGGCCTTTTTGGTTTGTCAAAAGACACAGGCGAAACAAACACATCAAGCAAACATAGAACAAAGCACAAGCAGGAATAAAGGTGTATAAGACAATAATTGCACAATGAACAACACAATTAGGTAATAAAAAAATTGTGAAATTTTGATTATTAACACATCTCTCACCTCTCCAATCCGGAAGACACGTGCAGTTGTATCCGTCCTTATTACTGTTGCAGCTACCACCATTCATACAAGGATTGCTTGCGCAATAGTTGACTGTACAATTCGGTGGATTTCCCATGTATCCTGGTTTACATACACACTGTGCCCCGTGTATATCTTCTACGCAGATGCTATTCACAGGACACGTTCCTTTTTCGCAAGGATTATGAAGTTCGCAGTGACGTCCCGTAAAACCCTCCAAGCAGTTGCAGTGATAGGAGCCAACGTCATCGACGCAAACTCCGCCATTCACGCATGGATTTGACAGACACTCGTTCAAATTAAGCTCGCAGTTTTGACCTTCGAACCCCATGGGGCAGCGGCATATATAGCCACCGTAATTGTCAAAACACTCGCCGTTGTTCAGACAAGGATTGTTCTCACATTCGTCGATGTTTATCTCGCAATTCGCACCCCGATATCTGTAGGATTTCAATAATTTTTTAATGACGATTTAAAAAAAATTATTTCCTCTACCACAAAACTCACCCCGTACGGTCGCATCTGCACGTGTAATTGTTAACGCCGTCTATGCACGTGCCTCCATGTTTGCAAGGACTCGGCGCACATTCGTTGATATTAATCTCACAATTTTTTCCAGTATATCCAGGATTACATTCGCATTTGTAGTCACTTTCCGTGAGAGCCATACAAATACCATCATTTTTGCATGGATTCTGCTCGCAAAGTCGTACACCCAGTTGCGACTCGCAGAACGCACCCGTGAATCCAGGTTGACAAGTGCAGCTGTAGTCGCCCTTCTGATCTTCAGTACAGGCTCCTCCGTTTCTGCAAGGACCGCTCAAACACGGTGGACCTAAAGAATAATAAAAGTGCCAAAAACGTCGAGGAGAGTGAATGACAAAGAGTGACAGAGGAAAAATTTGACAAGAAGCATTGTCTTAAGCAAAAGCGTTATCGTGATACATGCGGCAATAAAGCAAGCAACATTTTTTTTCAGATGTGCAAAATTTTCATCCGTGTGTACAGTGCAGAGATCAAGATACCAAAGATCATCTTGATCTATTTATACTGTGCGTTTAAAGAAAGAAGAAAAAAAAACGGAATCCAGATTCCCCTGAAATAAAAAGAATAGTTATTTCTACCATTGTCAAGCTGGCAGTTGTTTCCAGAATAACGAGCGTAACAGTGGCACTCGTAGCGGTCCTGTCGTGAAATGCATTTACCATGCATCATGCATGGTTCGTTGTGGCAAAAGTCCGTGGCAACGGCAGTGATGGCTGCCAATCCGCCAACACTGTTTGGACCACCTGAAAGATGGTACAAATGCATGCGCTCTACAAAACACGAGCCAGCTCTACAAAACGAATGTGGGACAACATCAACAACAAGGATAAATAAATGTGCTAGCTGCTCGACAAACAAAAACAAGAAATGGAATAACTCGACCAATCGACAGCAGACTATATAGGTAATGTCTAGCAACAGTATAATAACGACAGTGGTGCTGGGAAAATTGTTTAAAATAATATAAAAATGAATTAATTTTTCTAGAAACGCTCCTGACGTCACGAACAATCGGAAGAGTCGCCAACGTGAGACGGACAAAGACTTTCACGTTTGCGAATAGCAAACTAAAAAATGTCTACAAGGAAATGACTTCGAATTCGTCTCGGCTTTATAATACGCCATGGAAATTCCAGAGCGGAAGTGACAACGCAAGATGAACTCTCTTACATCCTTTCGTCTCCAACGGACAGGGACCGAATACGGCACCACTGTTGAAAGTGTCGTTGAAGAGGATGCCGGGTCCTTGTAATATGCATCCTTTGAATCCTTCACCGACAATCAGCGAGGAATTGATGTCGTAATCAGGCAGCATCAGAATGGCAGAGTTATAGGTGGCATTGGCGATCACCTAATAAACAGCAAAACAGTAATATTCATCGACTCCGGAGACGCTATTTTATTACGCATAAACGTAAACTGAGATGCTCGAGAAAAATACAAACCTGAGTGTTTCCAGCGGCATTCAGCGTGAGATTACCAAGTCTAAATATCATATTGACATTCTGCCAAGCATTGTTGAGCAATCTGGCGTTGAGTTTAGCCTCGTAGCGTTGCTGATTGATAATGGCGACGAAGAGTAGACCTTCCGGCGTCACTTGAAGGCTTATGGAGTCCGCATTGATTCTTTGACTGAAGAGCGTACCCCCGTCGCAGGTCCTGAAGCTCAATCCGCTGTGTCGATGCACCGAGATGGTCGATGCAAGCTTAAGAAAGGCGGAGCCGTTGAAGTAGGCTTCTCTTGGCGCCTCCTGGCCAGCGAAGCTATCGGCATCCTGTGGTGCCTCGTGAGTGAGGATCGACAAAGTGGATAACACTGCAATCATATATATAATTGGACGTATAGTGATACATTCGCCGTTATCGCTTATCTACCGTGTCTTCTGCTTAAGTGTTATACCCACAGATCCAATCAGATTTAACACGATACGATAAACTCCTCGACCCACTTTTCCTTATCAGCGTAACCTGCATTGCTCTCGATAACAGGAAATAATCAATAACGACCGTACCGGGGTACTTCCTACCAAATATAGATAACTAGTTAGAATTTATTATGGTCTTTCGAATTGGAAAGCCCTAACATTTTTCTTTAATACTTTTCATTGACTCGTTTTGCAAATGACTCTTTTTACTCGAGCGAAATCTCAAGGAAAGAACAAACTGCGAATATAATATATACGGGTATACATGTATAATATATACAGATACCAGCTATGTCGGTAACACGTCTTGTGACAGGTGTGTGTTTTTGTTAAATAATACATGAGTTGCATCGTAAGCCATTTATGGTCCTACGTGTGTATATCATAAGAAAAACCGTGGAAAAATTCTACACGTAATTGTAAATAATCCAATTTCTCACGATTCCAATTAATTGTAATTTGTCTATTTCGTGTTGAAAAACTCACGAGCGCATAGGGTAGCACAGTGTATATACATAACATTAAGTTCGGAATAGGCTAATATAGAGAAGCACGTTAACGATTTATAAGACAGACGTGACGCAACGAGTCTCACACGTATAATAAAAAACGAGAGAGAGGCGGAAGTAAAGGAATCACGATCTGCAGCAATGAGAAGCAACGTCTTCGATGCTAAGATAAGAATATCGCAATTGGACAGGAAGAGCGGCAAGCAACTCCCCATTAAATATAAAATATAGAGCTGACTCGCCGTTACTGGACCAAGTGAATTTTTGGCCAAGCGATTAAGTAAATGCGTAGTTAGGCTAGCAAGAATTATGTAAAATCCACGATGTCCCAAAACGTGTAAATTGCACCCATACTCTTGTATACCCAGATACCGTACACATTCTCAAAAGGATATGAGTCGCGGATGTGCATATGGCACTCTTTCCTGAAGACGTAGAGACACAAGAAGAATCCATAATATCCTCGCGTGGGATTGAATGACTACACGTGACTAATGCCACTCCAAATGGAGAAGGAGGAACCGCCTGCAATGCGTTTGGCATACAAAATGGAAAGTAAATGCGCTACGAGTCTCTCTCGGGTCTCGTAGAAAGAAACGCAAACCGGAAATGACGTTTGCACTAGCTTGGCTAGTGCAACGTCCGTAACTTATGACGTGTCTCGTACGTTTTATATACAGTAAATACCAAGCGGTGACACGTTCTGTTCTACTAACGTAAGCATTAAAGTCACCAGTCCGATGGTTTTCGTTGCTTTTGGTCACTCAACTGGCCAGTGGATATACGTATGTACTAAATATATACAGGTTCGACTACTCTCGCGTGCGCTCGTTCAACTCTCCGAACCCGTTTGCCATCCTGATGGAGAATCACACGCCCCCAGGAGCAGCGGACAGCCGTGAGCGGATTTAACGGGAAAAGAAGTCAAACGAAGCAATGGGCATTGTGTCACTTTAATTGTCAAATATATTTCATGGCACTCGGTATACATTGTTTTGATTTCAGGACGGACGTGATATAGACACTTTGACGGATGAGGATCATGGTTGCCGGATCTAATCGATGGGGCCCAGCTGGTTAACACTGGACCCGAACAGTCGATGCTGAATCTTGAACAGCTTCTGGATGGATTCTATCAATCCTTACAGACCTAGATGAGTTCCGAGACTCGGATTGCTCTCTATCTAGATATAGGCCTGAACAGTTGAGTTCCTTGACTCTAGAAGCCTATGCTACATGACTCAACGACGCCGCCACGCCACGCCTACCAAGCCTCGAGGCGGCAGAGTACCTCGCTTTCTTTGTTACAGTCAAGATCCGAGGACTGAATGGAAAATCCAGCGGATCCCAGTACCTGGAGGATGCACGAGTATTCGTGAGAAACGGATGGACTGAGAGTCCATCGATATGGCTGCAACTTGATTCGCCAATAGCATCGAGAACCTTCTACGTCTCGGCATGGAAAAATCGAGGTCTGCGACAATTAATGGTCTTGTTTATTTCACGAGGTTTTAACAAGCAGTTCACAGGCTAGAAAGCTATCCTTGGTGGATGGCCGCTTGCATAATCGCGGTCCGATTTTTCTTCAGAAGGTCACTACTGCTATCGGCCTCCGGCAAGCAGCGCTTAACGTCATCCGGATAATACCGCAAGCCGATAAAAACAAGTATGGCGATGCGTCGATTTATTCCTCAGAGACTTTATCTTCAACATTAGCTTCGTTATTCCACCTATGACTAGAATCTTCGTGCCGGTTCACGTAACTCTTATCTAACGTTCGCATAACCTTGTTTGTCTATAAGACTCGAGAAAGTATCTCTAATAATGCTGTGTTGCCTTCGTGAGGTATTTTGATAATTATCAAAATAATTTTTTTTTTTTTTCATTGGAAAGCAAAAAACTACCCAACTCAATGTCCACAGGTAGTCTTTAAGGACACACCCAACGTTCTACCCCGCATCCGGAAAACGCATTCCTGCAGGATTACGGTACCAAGTTGACTCGGCTAACCCTCGATCAGCACGGATCGGTGAATGAGCCTCATTCATTCCAGCAGCGGTTATACCTGGTGTAACGATTCTCAAAACGATGTCGAAACGTAACGAACACCTAATAAGTGATTTCAGGTAACTATCGTGAGAACCACTGTGTAGATAGCAGTGGGAGTACCGCAATGCAATTCCAGAATAATAACCCTTAACTGCATTCCCAAGTAGTGAAATGCACCCGTAAACATATGTTAGTGAGCATCGGTGCCCCGTTAGCCTAGACTCTGTGTCTCTCTCATCCACGTTATACCAGTATATAATAACGTATGCATGATAAACCAATAATTTCTTTAAGCGTACGTCATTTCTATTAAGGTATTACTACGGTAAACTCAAAACCGCGTAATCGAGCTGAAATTTGTTTTACGTCTAATTTGTATAGCAGTACATCTCTCTATAAATTTTTAACACGATTCACTCATCAGTTTTCGAGTATTTCCGAGTTAAAGTCAGGACTCGTAACACGTATTCCCTATACCTGGCCAATAAAACGCGCATGGTTTCTTTTATTGCATTTGACTCGTCCGCGTAATTCCGATGAAAGACTAGCATGTGGCAAAGTAAAAAATTAGGAATTTTTTAGATTTTCATTAAGAATTTTTTACTCATAGGATTTATTGATAGACATGGAAGAAGTTCGATATTTATTACGAAATCTCTCGTACGACGGCTAGACAAAAGAGCGTTACGGCAAAATTGTGTTTGAGACTGTATTCGGTGTATATACGTATACACTACTGCATCCAATGTACATTAGTGTGCGCCTATCCACGGAGGGATGGGCGTGCGTGAGTGAACTGTACCAGTTCAAAAGTTGACGCTGGATTGATCAAATCTTACATTGAAAATTTTCTTATTTTTCGGTCCGTAGTAATACCTTAATTGGGTATTAACATACCGATAGCCACTTAGTACATTCCAAAAAGAAAATCAAAACAGTACCTGAGTCTGATTCAGCTTTCATATACGCAGTAAGTAACAGTGCTGACAATAACGCGAATGCTTGTTTCCATGTTTTCAGTTCTGGAGACGCAACGGAGACGCTTCATTTTTTTTCTATAACGGTATGCCAACTGACGTTCCCGGTTTATGGATCAGTGACCGTAGACAAAATTACTCCATTACTGGTGAAACGCGTGCGTATTACTGCACGGAGTCAAAGAAGACTATTATTCAGCCTGGAGATAAGTGACAAACGGAGATAGGAATTGATATGGGAATTACAAGCGAGGCGTATTACTCTAACTGAACCGAGAAAGAGTAGAAAGAAGATATTCTTCGATAGAATTAACATACGTAGGTAGATTCATTCCACTATGGAAATAAGATGCCTACACGCTATTGTAGTCTAATTTTAAGTTAGAGTACTCATATGTATACAAGATACATCTCCAAGTAATAATACAGGAGATGACACAGTCCACGTGACGTTTATAATCGTATACGAATCATCGTGCATATATTCCGTTTGTCTTTGAATTTCAAAACTTATAAGACACTAGACTGGAGCTAGGAGAACGTCCAGTGTGGTCAGCAGCATATCGACTTTCTCAGATGATATAGAACAGTAAAGCTGCTTTACGTGTAAGCGACGGAGCGACACACGCGTTAAAGTTTACCTAAGGCTTCCCCAGGGTTCTCCATTAAGTCTTGCGCAAGCAGCGCATACTCCGAAAGAACGATGACAGCGAATGACTTTATAATTTGAGTTTTATATTTTTCTATACCTTTTCCGTCCTAGAATCATCTTACAGTCCATGTAGCTCAGGGCTGCGCGTTAATAAAACTAGTACAAGGGTGCGTGATTGGTACTTGCATTAACAAGGTAACGATAAGAGATGCCATTAACTTGGTACACCCGGTATAATGTATTAGAGGAATAAAATCGATGATTCAGTAGAGTCTAAGTAGATATAAAGACGGTCAGTTTGATATGAAAAATGAATCCGTACCTGCTGGAGTCTGTACGAATCGGAATAAGCTTGTAGCCAGCAGTGAGTAAGGCTTTAAAGTATCTCTATGTAGGCCTTATCTAAATGCATGAGTAGTATATTTACATGTTAAAAAGTACTATGTTGTATGAGCCTTGGAAATTCCTTGGAGACGATAAAGACTCCTGAAGCCTGAAGGTATACTTACGTTAGTGTCATAGCTCTCATGTTGTTCTTATATAAAGTATAGAATTTCGTTCATTCTTTTTTCTCATTATTTGTGCTTCTGTAATTACTTTGGACGATACTACCTACGCTCGTTACCACGGACTCACTCTCCCTACCTCGACTGCGACAATAGTACGGTAAACAGTTCTTTATTACACATACGGCGGAATCACATTGCGGAACGCGCAGGAACCGCTTACGCGAGGTACAAGCGTGAAAAATTGAAGGACGGTATATAGAGAAAATATGTAGGCGCATCCATGTACAGGGCGATTCATTATATATTTATTAAGAATTTTTAATCGAGGTGTATCGTTAGGTTGTTAATGTCAGCTATGGATACAAAACTATCGCCGAGCATTGTCTGACTAAAATTTTGTAATTTAACTGAATAGCTCTGTGCAGAGATACTTCTGATAAAAAAAATATATGTTCATATCATATATGACAGAATCCAGACGCTTTCGAATGTCCACGATACATGAGGCTTCGTGTTACTCGGTCTAGTCAGGCGAATATTGTCTGCATTGTGTACTGTAGGATATACTGTATGCGTGTATGCTACATGTGTCCACAGTTCTGTATGAAACTGTGGATAGCATTATCCGTACAGAATGAGTAGCAGAGTGAGACAAAAGGAAAAATATCTGACCAACTCTGAAGAGGAAAGCATTTGGGAGGAGAAAAGAAAATAAAAAGTGAAAAGTATCTATTTCCTTTTGGACCACTCTGGGAAATGATCTTTACCAGACTTTAGACTGCATTCGCACGTGGCCTCTGGCGCCGCTGGGTCTTAGCAATAACGAGAGTATCCTAGAAGGTCTCTTAAGTGCTCTCAGTGGGTACTTTTGTACTTAAGCTGACTGATAATCGACTGATAGTCTCAAAACGAAGACAAATCCAAATTTTCATGGGAATTCATAATCAGTTTATACGTTATGGCCATGAGCAAGAACTTTTCCGAAGAACGAATACCTCTGATTTCGTCAGTCTACCAGGATCTTCTTCTCAGGGTCGAAAAATATCGAATAAGACATACGTCACCGCTATATTAGTCATAGTGTACTCTGACGGTTCCAATGATTATGGTGATTTTGGTGACCGCTTGTATTATCGAAGAAGAGTTACGACTACAGAATTGCAAATCGTATAAGATGATATTTTCGTGACTCTCATGATAAACGTACCAGTACGCTGTATATATGCACATGCATGTAAATTGCTCATATCTCACGTACCGCGGATATGATATTCGCCTTGGAAATCTCACCAGGATTGCAATCTGAATACTTGGCAATAAAGTTTCACCGGGTTATATACAGTTAATCAGAAAGTAATGAATGTTGGATGTAATAAAATTCATTTTATTTTCTGTTCCAGATTCCCAATTGATAGTCCACAAGGTTCACGAGGTCAACGTGAAAATATTATGGGAACAAATTGTACCTAGTGAAATGAACAAAAATGTTGATAGGTAATTCGTTTCTCGTTAAAGCGAATCGCCGATTCAGAAAGCATGTCTAACAATTCTCTTGGATTCTTCGCTTATCCATCACTGTATATAGCCTATACTCAGATTTCACTTGAATATAATATGAAAAATGAAACTACAACGGTAAATACCGGGTGTCTGATTATGCACCTACAATACTAATGGCTAACGACCGGTTCCCTCTGTTACGTTTCAGTGATGCTCTCTTGATATACTCCTACACGCTAACTCCATTCTACTCCATTCTGTTGTGGAGTTTACACGAAGGGACTAGCAGCAATAAATATACGTACGCACGTACATTGTAAACGCTTAAGAGAAGCACCTGAGCGTGAACGAGAACTCATTAATGCATCGCCATGCCTTCCTTCCACCTGTTATGAATCGAAAGAAAAATTTTAACCGGCCGAGAAATTCGTCTTCGTTGTTAAAGTAACGTTTTTGCATGGTAACATCCGCGTCTTACTACCTGCCATTTCTCATGTTACTTAGACGCTACGAAATTCGAGTAACATTCCACGACCTGAGGAATGATTCGTTGCGCGAATATAGGTATATACTATATAAGCAGGTTAGTCAGGTATAAGGTAGCTGCTACATTGCTACTGCAGGTTGCGGACATTTGTAAGCGATATAATCCTCTGATTAGAGAATCGATATTATACTCAAACTGTGCCGCACAAACGGTTCGATCTTAATTTATATTGCGAGTGCGGACCAGGTGCTGCAATGTTTTCTGTGTTACAGTGGTTAATTTTACACCACTGTATTTGGAAATATACCAAGTTATTTCTAACATAAATAACAGAGGCTATATGTATAGTCAGGTGAAGTTTATGTACACGTCAAAAATTTTCTCTGGTATACATATATATATATATAACTGTGCTTCAGGTAGAGGATTACCTGACTAATGGAAAGTATACTTTCCTAGTCTACCTGGTTTACGTATAAAGGAAACATATGTGTCTTTTGAATATTGGTTTAATAAACTGATTTTTCGAGAGGAGAATAAACGAATTTTGTAGTCAACGTTGAAGCGGGAAACAAGCAACGAGAATCAGGTGCTATGGCGAACCAGGGGGACTCACCTGCGACTACCAAGAACGCACGCATTTCTCGACCGGATCCGAGAATCACGGCTTTGTTTAATCACAGCACTGTATTTTAGATACACTCCACTCACTCGCGAGGCATCACCCTCAGCGATCGTCGCCTTATTTCTTTATTGCTGTTTTAAACAATTTTTTTCCTTTTATATTCTCCTCAAACGTGGCCAGGGGAAGTTTTCCAACTTGCCACTTCAGTCCACCCGCATCACTCGCACAAACGGACTGTACTGTCCCCTGGAGAACGCTTTACGCCGGGGTATCCCCACTATAAGGCCTTCTTTACAGCACGGCCGACTGCTTTTGTCAGTGCTGTATGAAGGTTTTGAAGGACCCTTGCACACACCTGAATATCACTAAAATATTAATTTATATTGTGCCAGCTCCCAGAAGGCGAACGTTCATGATCTTATGTAAGTTTGAGGAATGATACTTCTTCAAAAAATTCTAGGGAAATTTTGCATACTTTTTTCAGTCAGTTTTTCATACACAGCGAGTCCGCCTAGAACGCTTTTATGCCTGAGGTTTTCTTCAATTTTTAATGGTCTCAGGAACGTATATTGGCTTCTGGGTGTCGTACTTTAATCTTCTTGGAATGTTATTGAAAATATTACTCCGAAATGTATTGTTATACAGTTTCCGATGATGATGATGCATATAGTAGTATTCTTTGGTATAATTATGTCTTTTGGAGAAATCTTGTAACCATTTATTAAAAATTATGTCTGGATTTTGTGCTTTCGCTTTTTACTCCGTTGTATGATTTGTTAAATAACAATTACGTACACCACCATAATGTTCAGAGAACATTTACTCGATATATTTATTGAAATTTTACTATTGCAAATGTTGCACAATGTTTTGTGATAGTTAAGCGTTATGGCAATCTGTAATGCTATGATCTATTCAGATTACGTAGAAAACTTTGGGCATTATAATGTATGTATAGATTTATTAAAGATCTTATTCATTTGCACATAATTGAACAGTATATTTATCGTGTGTAACTGTCGACATCTATACGCAATCTGGTAGAACTCATAGGAAATGATTGTCCATGGTTATCGTAGGAGCAATGTAATGTCGCTATGTCGTATAAAAATAATAAAACAAAAAAATTATATAAATCGTTACATCAATAATCATAAAACATCATACGTACTACAATTAATTGCTATGGTTATATCCAGAAAAATATCATATCTGCATCAAATAGCAAGTAGTAAAGAAAGCCATCTTTGTGAGACCGGAGTTTTCAGATAATAAAACAGTTTCTTAATTATCGACACGTCAAGAGCTGTCAACTCATGAACACATCAAGTGATGATGAACACTATGAATATCAAAAGTATCTTTATAAAAGAGAAGAATGGCCTGGTTTCACGAAACGGAGGTATACACAATAATGAGAAGTTTATATATTATATACAATTTATATTATGTGCTTTTTTTAGCGGCTAAGTTGAATGATGTAGCAATCTTTATACAATGAGATATATCGTCTGCTACCTTTCATTCAAGGATATTTTATTAGGTTTTATCCATTGAACATGCTTCAGAAAAAAAATTGCTATGATCTCACTGGTAAGAATATTGATATAACAAATGATTTTAAAATTCTATGAATTTGGTCATTGTTACATTATTAAAGTTCCAGTTGATGGAACTGTTACTATTACTATAATCTACAAAATAAAAAACTTTAAAATAGAACAAGATGAGAGAAAAGGAATAGATGAGAAGCACAAGAGACTTGCAAGAGTTGCACTTCTTAGTGAGAAATGACTGCAACACGATAGTAGGACCGAGCCTTTACCATTATCTTTTCCAAAGGTAAGACCAGGTATTGAATATGATTCCAATATTCCTGTAAGATACAGAGCTGTGAGTATCCAATGTAATGTAGCAAAATTTGTTGAAATGTTATTTAACAGAGTGCTTTTCATTTTCTAGTACTTGGAGCATAAATGACATCAAAAAGTTAATCATGGGTTATTAGGAAAACCAATTCAACTATATAACTATGTAAATATTAAAGGATTCATTCAACTAAATTTGGATCAGTATCCAATATCAATGAAAGAAATATCATTCAAAAATATTTGTGTAGCAAATCCAACCATCGTTGCATCAACAAATAATTTCAAACTCATCACCGAATATGACTACAATCATAAAGTGCTAGAAATATTGAATGATGTGAAGAAAAGATATGAAAGATCAGAGTAGTATCGTATTTTTACCACCAAAAAACCAGCCACATCTGCCAAAAAAATAAATATTGTATAAGACTTTATGTAAATATAAAATAAAACCTAATTGTAAATATAAGCTTAAAAGTAAAGTTACAAAGTTTCTTTGAAAATTTCCCAAAATAAATTATTACAACTTCACACTTCACTTTCAATAATCACCCACACAATTTCCCTTGCCAAAACGCTTATTGATTCCAAATAAACAATTACGGTTGCTAGACGGAGACACGAATAAGAATGTGAGTCGAGGTTGTTGGTTGAACGAGTGATGCATAAATGAAGGAAGAGCAAAAGAAAGTGGAATATTTTTCAAAGAAAGAACAATCAAATACCGCCAATCATTTGAACAGGCGCAATCAGTCGTTCCTTTCTCGCTAGCCATTTGCCTTTTCGTCCCTTCTCTCGTTATTGTGCGGTGCTGCTTCCTCTTCCGCTACAGCTTTGACAAGAATTTGGTATTTATAGATATTCGAGAGTATAGAACTAAGTGTGTCTCTGGCCAAACATAATATAGCTAGCCTCGTGGTGACGCGTTCATCGAAATACAGAGAAATACTAAACGGCATCAAGCGGGTCTAACCCGTGGGCCGTCAGCTGAGTTTAATCATTTCTTCATAAAGTGCACTTTCAACAACACAAATGAAAATGTCAGCGCTCTGGTGATTCATTCTCTCTGCTTACCAGACAGACCTTTCTCGTTCCGATTGAGAGATTCTTGTTTCACAGTAGCAGGTGAGTAGCCTATGGTCTATTAGCATTTTTTGTTCTTCCTTGTAAGAAGAAAAACAAAGTGAAAGTATTTGGCTTACGAGAACACGGCATTCCTTAGGAAAACTATCCTTCCAGTATTCGAGTTAAACGTTGAAAGGTTAGTGCAGGTTATAGAACGTTTCAGCTGTTATCGCCGGCATCATCATCTGTCAGATTTCTTGAGACTTTGATAAGCTATCAGTGAGTTTATAAAAACTGTTCTTTATATTACGGGAAGATTGATTTTTGTTGATTTTTCATTGACATCGAAAACGTAATACCCATGCGATGTTGATGGATAATATACTAAATCGCTGTGTGGTATAAGTTAAGAGCATTGAGTCATGTCTGCTATATAATAAAGAACTTTATTTTTTGTGGTTTTTAAGTTTTGTTAAAATTGATATTTTTTGTTGATACTGTAAATACAGATTTAAAGATTAATTGTATAAATTAAATTTAAATCATACTTTGGTCCTTGAATGATATCAAATAGAATCTTTATATTGTACTGAATATGGGAGTAAGATAATATATTTGTATGATATTGCATTATTTTATTCTGAAAATTTAGGATGATGGAGGAACCTTTAAGTCGGGGTGCCTCACCCTCTGGCGACAGTGGTCTTTCTGGCAGAGGAGAAATGAATACTAACATCGTGTCTGCCCTAGAAGAACGTTTTTTGGACATTCACATGAGACAGTCGGTGAATATGGTTCGTACACCACCTACAAGAAAAGCCAAGAGAGTTCGTTTCTTCAGGAATGGAGACAAATTTTATACTGGCGTGGTGATGGCTGTTACTCCTGAGAGATATCGAAGTTTTGACAGTCTAGTATCTGACTTAACAAGAGCCCTCATATCTAGTGTAACTCTACCAAATGGCGTACGTGCAATTTACACAATGGATGGTAGAAAAGTTCAGAATATTAGTGACCTAGAAGATGGCAAATGTTATGTATGTTCGGGTCAAGGTGAAACTTTCAAAAAGGTTGAATATTCTTCTTCCAAAGTGCGTAGGGGTAGCTCCTTATCTGGTCTACCACAATCCCCTGCTGGTACCGGTAGACAAACTAGTGCAATACCACTCTGCGTAAAAGCGCGTATAGTAACTTTAATCCGTCATGGCACAAAACCACGGAAAGTGGTACGCCTCTTACTGAATAAAAGAAATGCACCAAGTCTGGAGCATGCATTAGAAGCAATAACTGAGGCCGTAAAACTAGACTGCGGCTCCGTGAGGAAGGTTTACACGCTGTCAGGCCAGCAAATCACCGCCTTAGAGCAATTCTTTGAGACCGAGGAGGTCTTCCTAGCTTATGGCACAGACAAATCTAACCAAGAGGACTTTGAGCTGGATTTTGAAGAGTCAAAAAGCGTACAGAGCTTCCGCCGTGGACCCTGCATCTCCAAAAGACAAAGTGGACCAATGCCAAGGATGCCTAGGAAGTCGGGCAAAAAAGCTCTTTCCGTTCCTCAAGTTAGAACTCCAAGTCCCGGCTCCCTGTTACTTCCACAACCCCTCAGACTCCACTATGCTGTCGGCCACGTTATAGGGGATGGTAACTTTGCCGTTGTCAGGCATTGTGTTCACAAGTATGTTATAAAATCGTCGAATAATCCTATCCAAGAAAATCTTCTATATAACTATATTTATGTCCAGAACATCAGGTATGGAATACGCCATGAAAATCGTGGACAAATACAAGTGCCAAGGGAAGGAAACAATGCTGGCTAGTGAGGTGGCTATCCTAAGACAAGTCTGTCATCCTAACATAATAAGTCTGATTACCGAACAAGAGACAACCGATCAACTCTTCCTCGTGATGGAATTGGTCAAGGTAAGATTAATATGTTCTAGAAGTGCAGAATATATTCTTCAATTTGAAATTCATTATTTCAGGGTGGCGATTTATTTGACGCCATAGCAGCAGCCACAAAATTCTCGGAAGCGGAAGCCAGTGTAATGGTATCGCACTTAACATCTGCCCTGGCTTATTTGCACTCTCATCACATTGTTCATCGTGACGTCAAACCTGAGAATCTGCTAGTGGAAATGGAAGGAAGTCACGTGAGATGTTTGAAATTGGGTGACTTTGGTCTTGCCCAGGTTGTCAGAGAACCTCTCTATACGGTCTGTGGTACACCTACCTATGTCGCTCCAGAGATATTAGCGGAAGTTGGATATGGGCTCAAGGTAAATTCTACTTATGGGAATTTCTTTATTGAAACAATATTTCTGATGAAGAGAAAAAAAATTAAAATGCGTGGAGCAGTGCCTGCGATATGCTGAGCTAGGCGGTTATTCCGTTAAAAAATTGTGCAACTCATGCAACTCGATGACATTGACTCGATTACGGATATAGACAGGACAACTTCCCACTTAGCCACCTACGTTCTCAAGATTATATTACTTCATAACATAAAGCATTTGTGATTTTCGTCTATTTGTTTCAAGTTAAAAATTTGTAGCATTTCTCATAACTTCTCCTTCAACCTCTAATAACATACAGTTACTGACTAAGATAGGAAGAATTTGGAAAAAATCGTGATTTGAAAAAATTATGCAGGTATTTTAAGTAATAAAACAATAGCAGACCGCCGAAAATAGTTGCACAAAATTCATTTTCATAAGAAATAATTATTCTCTTACCATTTCCTGAAATTTTAGATTGACGTATGGGCAGCCGGTGTGATACTCTATATTCTACTCTGCGGATTCCCTCCCTTTGTATCACCAGAGAACGAGCAGGAGGAACTCTTTGAAAGAATTTTGGGCGGACAATACGAGTTCACCAGCCCATACTGGGACTGTATATCTGATTCAGCCAAAGAGCTAATCTCAAATATGCTCCAAGCCCAACCTGAACTACGATTCAGCGCCGAAGACGTTCTGGATCATCCATGGCTCGCGGTAAATAATCAAAAACGTTTCTTGCGCAATAGATCAGATTCTGATATCTTGCAACCCGCATGGCTTACCTTGCACCTAAGGATAACCAAGTTAAAGGTTCTTGTAGAAGAGTCACCCCGTAGCTCGTATTCGCACACTATCTGTCTCACTGGTAAGCCTATTGTAGCCTACACATTTCCTGCTGCAGCATAAAAATAGAAATTAAAAAATCGTTCACCCATATATTTATAATAGAGCACGATGTTGCTATTTGGCTTTTCTTTTCATTTTAGTATTCTTTTGTCTCTCTTGCATTACTCGTATCGCCTAGCCGGGACTCTGTTGACCTTCGGTTAATCTAACTCGAGGAGTCTTTATCCTAATTGGTTCACACCAGCCGGAGGTCCTGAAGACAATTGCCAATGCCAGCCTAGAGAAAGAAAAACAGTGCTTCTGTAGTGGTTTGTTGTGTCTGTAGCGGTGCTTTTGTTTTCCCTCTGTTCGGCCTCTGTACACCAGCAGAGCTTTCTAGGAGGCGAGCCAACCGCAGCAGCAGCAGCAGCAACTCCCGAATCGTCGCAGCAATACGGGAATAAGCAGCGTCAGCCGATAAGGATGGCGACCTTCGACTTTGACTACAAGAAGCAGCGACGCGCCATTGCACCACCCGAGGAAGGAGCCGCTACGGACAACGTCCATAAGAACAGGTGGTCCGACGTCCTGTCACCGGGTATCAACGATACGCCTTTTGACTGGGACAAGGACGAAGTCGACGTCGTCAACGGAAACCGCTACGAGGACGACCAGGAACCAGTATCCCTAAGTGCAGACTGTCTTCAGGATATCAGGGCACTCACCACATCCGTGCGTGATCTCATGAATAATCCAGATGATCTACCACGTACCCCGAAGAAGAGGTCACGCAGTAACACTTCCTCACTGAGCAGTATTCCTGAGAACGTAAAATCCCAGTGGAATAACGCCAATGGAGAAATGAGCAGTGGTGCTCATGGAGGCTCGGCGACGAACATTCGTATTACCAGGGGTCAAAGTCCTACATCCACCGGAATACATTCTTCCAAGAGGAACGGAAATTCTCTTTCGGATATTCATTCGAGATCCATGGCCACACCTAGTCCTCCACCAGGTCATAAGATGGCGCGACGATACGTCTCACCAAAATGCACAAAACCAGCATTGAATAAGAGCAGACAGAAATATCTGAGTCCAGGATTATCCTCCAATAGCGGATCAAAAATGGTCAGAAGTACAGAGCGAATACGCGCCGCTAATATTAGCAGAAAATCCGTCTGCGACATTATGACGTCGTCTACTGATGGTCTCACCGGAAGTTCCGACAATGACATTGAGACTTCCGACAGTTTTGTCAATATACAATTTGCCAAAATTGTACAGAGTGGTCAGAGATCCAGTTCCACACAAAGTATGGAGTCAACTGATAGCTTTGAAAATGTTCGGTTCACTTGGGACACTGAAAACAAAAACGTAAACGACACCAGGGACTTCAACGAGAACAGCCACAACACTGTTACCAACAGAACTTCCGTTACTAATAGAACAGCTGACAATCAGTCTACAAAAGTGGCAGATGCTAATCGCAAAACTACACCAAACAATCAATCTCGATTGGCAGTCCCGTCCCAGAAATTCAGGTCAACTAGATCTAATCAGAATTCAGTGCAATCTGAAACACGTCCAAGTTCAAGTAAGAATACCGTGAAGGCTCAAGAGGTTACAAAAGGTTCACCAATTGAATCGGTGAAGCGTAGAGAGAAACGACAGGAGCCGTCTAACGACCCAAGCGAGACGAAGACCGAGGTCAAGAACAAGAGGTTCAGCTGTTTCACATCAAGTGTACCAAGGAGGACACAGGAATCCAAGAGCAGTACGTCAAAATCGAATCGCCTCTCTGTCAAGGACGTGAGAAAATTCAGGTCAACCGATGAGCTCCGCGAGGAAAAGCAGAAGGAATGTACAAAACCAAAAAGGTTTAGTCTCTACTACACACCACAACTTGCAAGAAAAACTTATGAACCAGATACAAAACTGTCTAAAACGCAATACAAGACGTCTCATAAAGAAAATCCAAGAAGCGGATGTAGCCGACTAGAAACAGCTAAAAGAAAAGAGGATAATCCGACTACGGATAAACGTGATCATGCAAAGAATCGTAAATCTGTCCTGGACGGTTCCACAGCGGCCAGTAGAAATAGAACCAATAAAGGTAACGTGCACATACGCACAGGTATACCGAACGCAAACATAGCGCCGACTAGGACGAAGTGATTTTAAGAATCTTTTAATAATAAATAAGAAATAAGTCGCGAGTCTGGTACCAGCGACTGGGATGATACGTCACAAAATCATATTAAGTTATTAACGAAACAACTAGTAAGTTGCTGGAATTTATGTGTTTTCATTGTCGCGTGGTGGCCATAATATACGATGCACAGTGATTCCAAGACTAAGACGATTGTGGAGAAAAGATAAAACAAACAAAGGATATATGTAAGATAATTAAGTAAAAACGTCTGATCGATCCTGATGACGGTTCTCTACATTTGGGAACGTGGAAGATCTGTGGTAAAAACAAAGAGACAAAAAAAACAATACTGTTTAGTTCCCAAATTCTCGTGGTCCAGGACACGGGACAAAATGGACGGGACACGAAATGTCGTAAGAACGAAACATGCCAAATGCATTTAAGTAGATTTATTTTGTATCCGTTAGCTGTAAAATGAAAGAAGACGAACAAAAAGTAGTTGATTAGAGTGAAACTAGATAAACGCTAATAAGTAAGACTATGGTAGAAGTCGAAAGGCCAGAATGGGGCGCAAGTGTTTATTACAGAGCGGAGCTTCGTAATGGCGGAAGTGAAATTTCAGAGGACTACAATTAAATCGAAACTTAATATAAAAATTAATAAATAGCGGCGATAGTTTAGAACAGCGGTATGGATTCCAAGTCTCTGAAGGAAATTTTTCCAAAATGTGTAATAAGGAATCCTAACGTGCCAGTGCCGAGTGACGGAATAATAATAATAAAAAATGATAGCAATGACTAGAATTCAAGAAATAAAAACAATTACGTACGTGAAATAGTGTACGATAGGTACTGATTGCTCAATGAATAAATCACAGGCGATAGATGAATGAATATTTTTGTAAAATGTTGCGCGCGCATTCTTTCTTCGTAAATACGCGCGTCGTTCTACGGGCAATAATTATGAGCGTTAGAAAATATTAAAGACAAATCACGAATCGCTTCGTAATTAAAAGCGAACTGTGAATGAGCCTTAACGAATGAATTCCTGACGTCCCTTGTCAAGATCTGACTTATACAAGTAGGCATATCGTAAATTTATTTTTTAGAAAAAGCTTTTCGCAAAATCAGTACACTCACGTTACGTATCTATTCCGTCACTCGGTATATCAAATAATGTAGAATTTAGTGCACGTTTCTATTACATTCATACTATACTTACTATCACCGCCATATTGTATATCGCCCAGCGAAAATTCTTTCCGAAGCCAATGACGATAAATATTTTCATAATTTTTTTTTACTTTTTTTTTTCTTTTTCCCTAGTATTCTCGTCATTAGAAATACACAAAAAATGATCGATTGAGATTCGCGTGACGTTCACTATTACGCTCTTTAACGTTTTTCATCCTTTTTTTTTTATTGCCTCACTGCTGACTATATAATTAATAATCATGAGTGAACATTGCTTGATTGACTTAGAGACTCTGCCTTATTCTTCAAGGTCAGGACAGATTTACTGCAAAGAACAAGACATATGGTTTATTATACTTTTTATAACATTTTAAGGCACTTATGGTAATTCGCGCGCAGGAGCACTTATATTATATATACAGATACATAAATATGTATATATATACACGTACATGCAATGCAAAAGAAAACAGCACGGCATTACTTTAGATGATGTAGATTTAAAAATGATTCACGCCAAATATTAAGATTCATCAATTATCTATTTATATTATATTATATTATATATATATATACATATATTTACATATATACTTAAATTCATAATAATATCCAATACAATGGTAACCATTATTCATACTTCATCATATCAAAAAAATTATCATTTCCTTTCGATGTCCCCTTCCCTCCCACTCTGTCATCCCCACTGCCACTTCTTATCACTTCGAGCTTTATCCATACCCTAATAAGCTTTTATCCCTTAGACCGTGCTTTATGCATCACCTATAAACCTATTCACGCATATTCCTATGCATAAGGGTGCATAAAATCTGCACCCTTGCAAGTGTGCACAATCGCGTTAGAAGAACCATTAAAAATCAATTGTACCCATTTTAATATTGGCAGAACGCAAATGATTAAAAGACAAGTACAATCAATAAATCCTTGCAGTCTATCATTAACCATATGTCCTGTCGACCCTTAGATAATTATTCCTTATACAAGAAACGAGTACCGTCCAACTGACCAGGATAATGATATCTGCACTTTGAATTATATTAAAAACTGTTGTATCTCAACATTGCAAAATTCCTTGAATTCTTTTCGAAAATCGTACTAGTACAGTGTAGTAGATGCGTGTTCGTGCTAGTTTATAAGACGCAGTAAAACTGAGGCAGCCGCGTAGTGTCGCTGCGGCCGAATTCAGGAGTTCAGAACGTGTCAGTACATACAGTCAGTACGAGGCTCGCGCGCGTGCCGTAAGGGTGGCTTAGCCGCCCCGGCAGAAGCCACGGCCATAATAATAATAAAGAATAATAATATCGCGTAGTGTTTGGTCATATCAAATAATTAGAAAAGTGTAGTGACAAGAATCATTGGATTCTATAAATCGTTTGACGTAGAGTGAATGTGAATAAGAGTGAATAGGCTACATATCAAAACCCGAAGATTTGTGCCTGAAGATTGTCATATCATTATAGAATCAAGAATACTGGATGACTAGATGACTTCGCCCTTCTAATATACACTAGCGGGAAAGGTGTATAGCTACTCAGGTACGACCTTGATCTAATTAAAATATGTAACAAGCATTGCAGCTGTGACGACTGTACTATCCTTGCTTGGCTGGTATATTTTGTTATGACTATCGTGAAGTGGTATAACGCGATGTAAACAATTGGGATTACTTATGAATTATAGCTATGGCCGGATTCGGTATTTGAAGAGGGATCGTATAGGGCGTCATTGCTATGCTTAATGACTATTTGATTACTCTCGATATAGATACGTTCTTTAATGGCATGGAGAGTAGAAATTAAATGCACTCATGGTTTGATGTATACTCATATAAAAATGCTTTTATAATTTACTAATGCCACTGACCCACTGAAATGATGATTCATAAATAGATGATGGATTTATGGTATTAATGAAGTAGAGGTACCAACCTTGCTATTGAATGCTACATGTTTTGTGTTTGTGTTCAATGTGTATCTGACGTGTTCCTTTTACCTTTTCTATCGCAAGAACTTGTGTTTTTAATCAATTCCTTTTATAGATGCAATATTTGACAAATGTCACGTTGGAGGGTGGACATAGATCTGGGAAAAACAAATATACGTAAATATGTTTTCATATATGAGTATAGAATCTCGTAATTTTTGTTCATGCATTCCGTCCGTGCATTTACGTATGTTTACTGCTTGAAAGATGTCCCGTTAAGTGTCGCGACGCTCGGCAAAAAAACATCTGGTGACGCAGCAGTAGGTGAGGATTGGATTTGATCTTATAAAATTAGACGACGGCATAAAAATATTCTGGTACTTTCGTTAAAGGCTCGAGAGCTGTTTCAAAGCTACATTTCAATTGACTTTACGCTGGCAGGTTAGGTTAGGTTATCTTACATAGGCATTTATACGTTCACTCGACCGACATCTTTATCATTAATACCGGTTAAGGTTGGCACAGCGCGAATGGACTCTACCAAATTTAGTAATTGGAAAACCGGTACTGTTATCCTTATTTTTTTTATTCTTTCTCTCTTTCCCTCCGGCATTTCGTAACAAACACAACGCGGTCATCTTCGTATTATATCACAGGCAAGAATTACTGAAGCGCATGGGGAATGCCGTTGAAACCAGTATACGAAAAAAACATGTGAAACGTCCGTTTATCTTTGCACTTTAGCAAACATTCTTCTCTTTTCTTCCTTTCGCCATTTCTCGCACATTAGCTCACAGTCTCTCGCGTTCCTCACTCAACAGCAAGCGCCGCCATTGTACCCTTACAATATACTTGTTGAACTCGGTACTCTTGCGGAAAAGACACGAAGCTCTCGAATGGTTCGTACACAGTTTAAAGGACTGCTGGAGGGTGGGTATGGGACGAGGGTACAACCCAAGGCAATTAACGAGTTATTAATTACCTCGAGGTAAAATTTATTTGGCTTACTACGCACGACGTCGTAATACCAGTCTATCCATCACGGGAGCCAACGGCTTTCGTGAGTTTGACCAATATCTGGCAGACGAGGAAAGAAAAGGAGGGGAAAAAAATGGCAAAAGAAAAGCCTTGTTTATCCTCGTTAAACACCTTCGCTCGCTCTCTTGACTCTCCCTTTGTATATACCCATACATCCGTGTACGTTCGTGCTTCGATGCTAGGTTAGAAACCCGACGGACATGTCGCGCGCCGTCGGTGAATCCTTTTCCTGCGGCGTCAAGACGTCGTTCGCCGTCAAGAGCAGCGTCGTTGACATTTCGAGCAGCAACGTTAATTTGTTGGCTAGACTGTTTAGCGTTTCGGTTAGCGTGCTTCGTGCACATATTTAACGGACACACATTAAACACACTTGAAGTGATGAATGCCCCGGCATTCGTCTCCGGCATAATTACCAGACTGTAGAGTATATATATACTATGGTATATATCGTATCTTCCTCTATATCTCTTAGCACCCTATCTCCGTCCCCCTCACTCTAACGCTCACTTGATGCTCCTCTCAATTCAATTCTCTCCTCTCCTCAACAGGAAAAAGACGCGCGAAGAAGACATAGACGTTTGCACTCTACCCCAAAAAAAAAAAAAATAATAAAAAAAAATGAAAAGGACACTCCGCCATTATCATCTTCACCGCTCAAGAACAAAGCAATCATCCCCTAGTGTCTTTCATCCCCTGCAACAGCAGTACTTTATTTAAACAGAAGAAAACTTGATAGCGTCCGTCCTTTCCACAACAGGAGTCTTGAATGTCGGTACCAAGAGAACTTTTTGTTCACTTCCCTCCCCCCCCCCCCCCCCAAA